CTTAGCGGGGAAACAGACGAGAAGAGAGTTGCATAAATAACAAAATAATATGGGTTTATTCCGATCGTTACTTTCTCCCTTTGCAAATGTTAGTCTCAATCAAGTTGACACCGAAAGTTTTATAGTCTAGCGGCAACCAATTCAATATACAGTACCAGCTCATTGTTACATTACTCTCATTGTGCAGAGTAACCATTCACTTTTTTTGTCAATGATTTTTGAAGCAATGACTTAAAATCCACCTGTTGTATTGATTGTGTATCGTTTAAAGTTTCATCATGATTATAATTACGGCCGGCATATGTACCGTATAGAATTCTCAAGAAACATGTTTTTGCTTTCGTATTCACCCTTGCCGACGCTTAGCGCCCAGTTGATTCAATTTGTTATCCACCATGCCAATGCAAGTAGCTCAGTTCCTGGCTGAAGCTGATAACGGCCACAGTGGGGTGGTAGCTTTTTGACGATTGACGGTTAATTTTTTTCAATTTTGACTGCTGACGGTTATTCAGTGGAAATTTAGTCCAAGAGTTAAAGTAAATATTAACTTCTGTATATATTAATATAATGTTTGTGTTTTGGAACTAGGTTTTCTTGGTCAGTCGTTTTAAATATTTCGAAGCGAGTTTTAACGTCTTGTAATGCCTAGAAAATGCGTGTTTGAGAACATGGGACTAACTGAGTTTTCCACCAGGAGCCCGAAGTCGGTGAAGATCAGGTGAGTAGTGAGATGTGAGATACTTTGAAACAATTATTATGCAGTTTTGACAGTTGACGGTAAAATAAAACCTTTTTTGACGGTTGACGTTTAGATTTTAGGCCGTTTGACGGCTGACGGTTAACACCATTGAAGTCCTTATAATATTGATCGGCCTTTGAACAGAGACACAATATGTTAAACATTAATTAGCTGATCATAACCATTTTAGCAATTTAGCAATTTAGGTTTACATTTGTATTTATCTGTTCTCTGAAAAAGAGGTCCAGAATGGTTTAAACTAATTTACGGAGTTTTCCGCGGGTTAGACGTCCCATTAAACATGTGCGCAACCTAACGCAAATCATCGAAATCTCTTATTCTTGAACCCACAATAGAATTTATTAGCACCTGCGACTAGCCTATAAGCGTTAAGAACAAATGGGCTTCGCTTCCAATAATCCAGAGCTTTCAAAACCGCGTTTGATTATAATTTAATACATATAACGAAACTTGCCTCCATCTCAGAACAGCTTTCCAAAATGTTTCCATATTTTAGTCTTAAAAAACAGCAAGTATACCTGAACAGCTCTCCATCGCTGTCTGACAATGAAGTATAATCCATTTTCATCTTTTTTTTCAATTTTGAGGTGGCTGCCAGCATTGACTTTGAGTATTTTCCCAGTGTTCCAGTGTTGCAAGGGATGTTTGGTAAGGAACACCTCTAACGTTAAGTGTGACAACTTCAGCCATAGCTCTCTGACAGCCAGCAGAATCTAAAATCAAGAGCATCAGTTGGAAGAAAAGGGGAACCTGAAATACTTCAGCTAGTGCTGCCCTTTATTATTATTTTATTTTGATGGCCCAATAAAAAACAGTGAAATATAGGTTACATAGTCTTTTCCTGGAAAAGACTGATAAAAGGTGAAGTTCAGGACCATGTCGAATTGTGTGATTCTTGTATTACTGTAGAGGCGTACTAAAATGGGACTCTTGACTCACACTGAATTCATGTCAGGAGAAACTTTCTATCGATCATCGTTTAAACTTATAAGTCAAAACTATGAGTAGCGAAACTGACTTACTATATAGTATTAATCAACAAGAACACTTACAACATTTGCAACTCATCTACAAACATATATCGTAGCAAATGCAACAAGTGGCTAACGTAACTCTTTGATCAACATTTTCCTTCAACAAGACCAAGGAGAATGAATCAACGGAAATCACTTTCTCATTTCGGGAGAGGATGTCATTTGATGAATTTTTGTTATAAACCCCAAACACCAAATAAAAGAATGCCTTTAATAATTTTAAGTCAAAAATATGCGCACCACGAACATTTTTCATCGCTTCCATTTTTTTTTCTGTTTAACAAAATAGCATGATTTGTAGTAATATTTGGCATAAATACCACTAGTGGTTTTTCGAAATTGTAAATTTGAGACAACTTTGAAATATCACGTTCAGCCAAATATCATACGTACAGATCATGCTATTATTTGTTTATTCTACTACCCGCAAAGGTTTTGAAGCTTTCGTAAGTAGGTATTTTAAATTAAGGTGAAATACCACTGCTCAAAGCCAATCAAATTGCAGAAGTTTCTCATGTAGTAGTATAAGGTGGTAAATAGACGATCAAATGATTGATCTCTTATTTTTTAGCATTGTAGATCGAAAGACCAGCCCCAGTTGTTCAAACGTTGAATAGCGCTGTCCAACGGATAAGTATTAGGGAAAACTTTTGCGGTATCCACTGGACAGAGATTTATCGAGTGGAAAGTGTCACCTTTTGAAGAACTGCATGGGGCCAGAGCTTTAAGTTTTTTGGTTAAAGATCGATAGCTCTTATCACATTAACGGCATAATTTTAAGTGCCAGTCAGTAATTGGAGTGAGCTTCGAGAAATTTGAGCTTATAGCAAGATCAAATCTTATGCATAGTTTGCAAAATATCAAAAATACATATTCCCTTTTCAATGCTTGCTCAATTACTTCCCAGAAGGAATTCGAAGTAAATTTCCATGCCGGACATGTTGAAGAAATGCATGATCATGCTTATAATAAAATGATAAAGATTTTTATTGAACACGTGGCTTAGAGTGATTTTACTTGACCCGTGAAACAGATACTAACAACTACTGCAAAATAGCTACTACAAAGTAGAAGATGGCAATAGAATTAGTGCATAATAGTGGTAAACAAGTATTCTACTACCTATTTCAAGGGTTATAAGTAAAATCACTTTTTAAAAAACGGCTCATATTTTACACCTACAACAAAATTGTGGTTAACTGAAAGTAAAATAATATATAGATTTAGCCAAGGCTAAAGAGCGAAGCTCCCATTAATAAATATATAATTTAAACCAAACAATAAACTTGTAATCCACAAATCAGTAAACTTAAGGGCACATTCATCTGGCTTTTGAGGGAAAAGCTAAGTGAAACATCTCACATCAAGTTGACTTATATGTTCACCCAAGAAATAGCAATTAACTTCGATCGCATTCAAGAGTCATAACGGCTCTTGATCACAGTACATTAGGCCTGGAAAACAAATCAGGCTGCATCTTTTGCGTTCGATAAGTTTACTTTACAAAATCTTGCCAACAAATCTGGAGGTGTGTAAACCAACCTTTTATACTTTTTATACATCACATCTGAGGTGAAACAGTACTATGAGGCCCTGTAATTATCATACAGACCTCGGACAGAAAGCAGTATTTCGCTATTTTTCAAAACAATTGTACTCAGTCAATATTCAGGACGATCAATCGTTGGCTTTTAGCGAAACCGTTCAAAACATTTCCAAAATCACCTATACGGCCAGCCGGTTCTCGGCTTTTGACAAGCGGTCGAGTGTGTGAATGAACATTAATAGAGTTACGCTTCAACATAATAACGAATTTATTATGTTAATTTTTTTTATTTAATGGCTTTAATTTATAACGATGTGTAATCTTGAAAAGCGTTTGATACGCGCGACATTTTGAGTACTCCTGCCAGCGATGTTCATGAAAGACTGAAAACAAACGTCACAGCGATTAAAATTGCAAAAGATACTTCTAACAATCAATAAAAGAAATATAATTCGGTGAAACATTTAAAGAGACAGCAATTTTCATTCACGAAGACAAGTATTAAAGTGTCTCTAAAAATCCTGAGTCTTTAAGTTTATGTTTTAAGCCGGCTTCCCGGTGTTTGCTTTTTTCAAAGATGAACTCGAGGCAAGAAAATCGCTCAAAGTTTTCTTTCTACAAGCAAATTTATAACTAAATATTCTTCGCGATGTTTTCTTTCTATTTGCGGTGAGAAAATATATCTAAAGGCTTTTTAAAGTTCTGTAAGCTTATATCAAACCTGATACTAGGTCAGATCATTGTCTCAGATCTTACAAACGTGCATAATCAACTTGCCGCATAAACTGTGCTCGACTTCATGAGCATATAAAAAAACAAACATCAGATACAATGATCACTCAGGCTTACCATTCGAGATGCAGCTCCTGAAAGCTATCAAGTAATTATAAGGCCAGAATCGCTTGAGACTTTTAAACTCCTCTTACGTATCAAGCAAGGTGAAAAACGAAACGATGCCATCCGAAATCGGATTTCCGACTTTCACAAGCGACGCATTTCTCAACCAAAACCCCAGTAAACAAACCAGCCATGAATAACAGAAGACTCTTGATAGCAGCTGTATTTCATTTTGTACATCCAGTGGAAACAGACATTAAAAAACATCACAAGTTGACACAAAACTCTGTCAGCTTCAGCTTTCAAAGTAAACAAGTTTCAAGACGCTGCATAAATTTTCCGCATGAACTCACCTGTCAAATTTTGACCAATCAGAGAATAAAAATTAGACGTAGAGCGTGACCAACGCGTGACCATGGTAAGAAAAGGTCTTCTCCGCCTGTATTTTTAAATAACTGGCTGAATTTTCGTGTCCGAGGTAAGTTTGAAATCAAAATCTTAATAGTGCTGGGCCATAGTGACATATTAAAACACGTCATATTTCATATTAATTTTTAAAAAAACAAACTTGAGCCTGCGATCATTTGAAAACTGGTAACTTGTCAGCGGATAACTTCAAAAAATACTCGACCTCGATGGGTCGAAACCTGAGCCCGCGATACGGTCAGGTGATACTGGTCAGCGGAAACCCTGTTTTGACAGCTGTCAATTGATCACAACATTGATGTGCAACCAGAAAAGTGCAATCAGTTTTCTCCTGGGCTCCCAAACTAGCTAGAAAGTACGAGAGTAAACATTGGTATACCTGTGGTGCGGACGGACGGTCGTACGTTCGTTCGGTGTACGCTCACGTGATTACCAAATTTTCTGGGATGGGTAGATTTACTTAGCTATGGGGCTCCGCCCACGCGCGCGCGGTTCGCCTCGTGTATACCCTTTTTTATGTGGTTCTTATGCACTTATACAACGACTGGTACCCATCCCTCACCAGTTGAAGTTAGACAATTTGAGTTGTAGATCGTGCGCGTTAAGATGCCGATGATTTGATGTAGGCTCATTGGAGTTCATTATGTGGTAAGATTTTCTATCATCATTCCCAGGAATCGAGAATGTTATCAAAGGTCAAGATGAAACAGCCTCCGAAATCAGCATAATTCTTCACATCACACAAAGCCGAAAGCAATAATTGATTTACTATAATGCAAAACGTACTTTGACGATAACATCCGTTGAGCATTATGTTTTGCCTATTCTTGCATTTCCACCTTTTTCGTCTCCGGATAACCGTTTAGCGGCATCGTTTCTACCATCGATCAATTCGTTTCCAAACTAATATGCTATCGCATCAATGGTAGATTACTCGCATTTTTCTAATATGTTGAGCGCTTAAGCGCTAGTTGGTCCGCACGCATAAGAGATTAGCAGCGGGGAACCAATCAGAAACGGCGACATATTTTGACTGAATAATAATAACCAAAAAATATTGAGTCTCAGACTGTTTTAACTCCTTACACGTTTCTTCATTTCATTCTGCTAATAAAAGCACGTACTTGAAAAAGCACAAATTATGAGATATTCGACGTCATTTCGCAAGTCCAAACACTTCTAAGTCATCCACGACGAATAACCCATATCCGCCGTTTAAGTAAGCCTTGTCTTCATACTTTGTTCGAAAACCTTCCCTAATTTCTGCAAAACCCACGCGATTTGAATTTCCTGACAGTGCAACAAGATCAATAACGTTGCCAAAATCACCAAACGCCGGCCCTCGATCTGCTTTGCTTTTGACCCCTCCCCTAACGAACGTCTCTTTGCTGCGGGGATCGGGCGAGGGGAGCATTTTTTCTGGAGGATAGCCATGTGGGTTTTTCAGACTGAAAATGAATGACGTTTCGCTTACTTGGTGGTCATAGGCGTGGCCCTCAGCTGAAATAAATAAAAAAACGAATTAATTTAAAAGCCAAGTTAAAAATGTAGCGAGAAAACGTCAATTCATGTAATGTTCCTTCTTTACTATTATTGCTGTCGTAACATTTTTATGCTCTTCTCTATTGAAATGCAGAATGAAATATATGCAAAGAGACGAAAAGACGGAGAAAAAGAAGGACAAACAAACTTCGCAAAAGGCAGGACAAGCCTTTCTAGAAGGGGATGCCCTATGTACAAGAATGGAGTAATTTACTGTGAATCCGTTAACAGTTTTTGCACATTTTAATTAAATACTGAGATCAAATCTTGATCAGGACGTCCCAGTGAATGTTATAACCAGAAGTGCGGTTTTTTAACCCATAGGCAAACCCCATTTCGCTACGTTAAAATAAGGGATTCGACTTCATTGTTTTCAGGTTCAAACTCAATAAAATTTCAACATTAACAAACCTAAACCGCTCTCTACGATCAATGATAACGATGATTCGATAACTGATAGAGATGATGACCGCGACAATTGCTATTATCATAATGATATTGTTGCTGATAAAGAACAACACAGCAAAATAATGTAAGGCGAAATTTAGATGGGCAGGTAGTTTTATCTCGACTTCCGTTTGCTTCTGATTAACCCCCGTCAACGTGGCATGTCTTTTCCTCAGTCCACTAATAACCGCTTTGACGCGCGCAGATTGCAAAACTGTTAGTAGAAATTGTTGCACATATGGTAAGGAAATTCAACTATTAGGAATAGGCGGGAACCGATTTGAGTGATAGATTGCGTGAAGGAAAAATTCAGTAATACAGCAACAGCACCTCACAGGAATAAAGAGAAGGTATTGCATTTAGGCCGGTTTGATGAACTACAAAGTTACTTACGTGAGGACCATGGCTTGTCCGCATAGCCACCAAAGACATTCTCACCACTTTTGATCACCACAAGAGTTGGTGACTTTCCATCACATCTCTTGTGAAAGTTAGCTGGCTTAAACCCATCTCTAGTTGCCTTGTACAGAATACCCCATTTGGCATCGCTTGGTTCATCTGACATCCACGACAGCAGAGTATTTTCGTCATTAACGCTGGCAATTATTGACGACTCTCTGAACACTTTTGGCTGTAGACTAAGCTGGTTGATTAGTCCTTCTAACTGATAAAACTTGGCTTCAGCGACTAGTTGGTCACGCAGTGGGGACAGGGTCTCATCAGAGCAGATTAACTTCCCATTTCGAAGGTAATTGAGTATGTGCCTATTAGAGGACAAAAGGAACGCTGAAGCTAATTGGAGCTATATGACAGATACAGCAAAATAAAGCGTGAATTCAATACATTTTTACTTTTCCCACGATAAAACTAATGATTGCCACATTGCCATCATCCCCCCCCCCCCCCCCCCCCACCTGGCAATAAAAAATTGAAAGAAAAAAGGAATGAAAATTCAAGATTATACCTGACATCCATTTCCTAGCAAACAGATGAATAGAACTGATGATTCCCCTTCTTTATCATGTCTTCCTCCCACCACAAGAAGTAGGAAAAAAGAAAGATTATATTCCAGTGACATTCCTTACCTGAACAGCTCACCATCCCTGTCAACGAAGTACGAACCATTTTCGTCTTTCTTCAATTTTGAGGTGGCTGCAAGAATAGACTTAGGGTATTTGCTCAGTGTTGCAAGGGATGTCTGGTAAGAAACACCTCCAACGTTAAGTCTGACGACTTTTTCTTCAGCCATGGGTCAACCAGTGAGCAGGACTCAGAAATTGTGCAACCAGTTGAAAGGACAGGGTAACCCGAAATAATTTGACTAGCACCGCTTCCTTTTTTATATCTTTATTTTGAGGGCCAATATAGTTATTCAGTATTGGTGGTCGAAAAATTTAGAAAACACTTAGTATATTTATCTTTGAGCTTTGAGACATTTGCATTTGGTTTCCTTCACGATTGTATCAAAGTCCCTTTGTTTCGTACTTCATTTATATTGGACTCATTGATTCTTAGACTGCCAGAGAAAAGTTAAAAACAGTATAATTTTAAGTGCCTTCACACAATTTTAAGTCAGTCACAAGGGATTCGAGCTTAATAGCAACATCAATTCTTTACGCAAAGTTTGGAAAATTTAGAAAGACACTATATTCCTTTTTCAATGCTCAACCCTTCCCAGAAGGAAGTAGATTTCCAAGATACATCGTCATGTCGACTAATATTAAACAGTGGGTTTGGCTGATATCTCTCAGCTAGCTTAGCTACAAACCGCCAAACAAAGAAAAAGTATTGGTCCTTTACAATATAATAACTTCCGTGTTTAAAGACAATTGTATGCAAACGAAGTACAGTGTGGGTAGCTGAAAGTGAAACAACGGAAAAGGAAGAAATTTCTTCAAACGACTCACCGACAGTTTGGGTTATTTATACTCGACATCCCACGTAATCTGTAGCATCAAAAACTGTCAAATCTATACCTCTACCGCGAAGTTTTAACTTCCTGTGATTATTAAATTCTTCGGCCAAGCTTATCCTTTTAATATGCTTGCGTACCGTCCTACTATATAGTAATTAAGCCTTAATATCCCACGAATTTTCTGTAAGTAATAGAGTTTTTCTATAACACCAGAAGATTAATGCATTTAATTAAATGTTCCTTAGTGATTATGTAGCCAGATTGATGGTCATCAGAATCTGGTCCCTGTTTTTCAAACGCTGGATAGCGCTATCCACTGAATAAATCATTTTAGTAAAATCCAACTCAGTGGTCTATTGTCAATGCTGCGTTCTGATTGGTTGAGCTACTACTAGGCTATATGTTATAGCCCCCTAGTGGCGAAAAGCGCGGGCTTTTTGGCGGCAAAAAAGGATTAAGGTCTAGCTTTTAACTAGCTAAAATTTTTTTATTCTCCACATTTTTGACCAACTAGTTGGATTTTGCTATCGACTGAGAGCCCGTTCGGGCTTATATATATATATATATATATATATATATATAATATATAATTATATAATAAAAGCTTCAAAACAGGATTTAGGTAGCTAAGTGGACAACGCTTTCCCTCTTTTTTATTACCTACTCACGATCAATATGAAATACAACAAAATTGACAGAGACACGCGAGAAATTTAAAGCAAAAAAGGCATCTTTTTTGGTTAGTTTCCCCAATTACGGTCAATTAAAGTACCGTGCGTAAAACTGGACTTATGTTCCCTTTCGTTTGATATATGCCAGAGAGCTAAAACTACTCCCTTTTCGATATTGGGAGATAAATACTCGAGCCTTTACGATATTGTAAAATAAATATCAAAACCCGTCCAATACATAAAAAGCACAACAAGCAACAACACCAAAACCAAAAAGCGTTAGTTAGCTACATTTTTCAGTTAAGCATTGGAAACGAATCCTCACCAACCCTAATTTTTGAACTGGTCTGTGACGTAAAACGGCGGCAAATAAAACAAATAAATTGACTTCTGAAATAAAATATTCTATAAAAAAATGATAATAATAAAAAAATACACTACGTCTCCTTGGTCTAAAGATAAGTTTGACGGTTCCGAGATAAATTCATTCCCTCAAGCATGGTTTGGCTTGGTCTGTTGTGGAAAAATAGCTTCAGAATGATAAAAACCTTCTCAAAATTTCATCCAATTTTGTTTTAATATGTTTGCGTGCGTTTTTTAAAATGTTGCATCCCCTGTGCTCCTATAACTCCTTCTCACACTCAGATGCGGTCATCCGCGATTTTCCCTTCCGTAAGCAGTTCCTGCTTTGTCGGTTTCTTTCCACGATATCGCTTTATGAGTATGAATTGTGTTGGAAGTAACACACCAACATCATGATCTAAACTTTCAACGTTCTCTTTATAACTACAGAGGGCTTTATTCTTCCACTAAAGTTATCGCAAGTATCACAAAAATGAAGGAATTGAGTTAAAGAAAAGCCAAAAACAAAACAACCACAACAACAACAAAAACACCATGACTGATCAAATCGGACGAAAATTTTAAATATGGTATTTTTCTCTTCATCCTCTTCGCTATGGATCGTTTACCCCGGGGGTACTCCCGTACAAAAATAACGGTGATGCTCGTCGTCTCGCCTAGGGGTGTACATTGCAGATTTTGGTCTCACGTAGGACGTTTGGAACGAAGAGTCACGATATTGGCCAATTCAGGTATATCTTAGGGCTTTACATATGAAAGAAATTTACAAAAATTTGGAATGCTCTTTAGATATTACTGGAAGCGACTGCTGTGAAAGATACTTTCCTAGGATCGGATTCAACAACAGGAAAAAAAACATACATGTTTGAAGAGCTGTTAGAAAATTTTTCTGCGTCGCATTAATAGGAATGGCTCAGAGAACAAGTTATCTATAAACAAACAAAAAAAGCTCTCATTAGAGTCAGAGCACGTGTTTACAGTTTCTAGGTCTGTTGCTCAAAGCGCCCTGTGCGGAGGAGAGACTCAGGGTCTGTTGCGCACTTGTGATTTTATTGGCTTGCAATGTCATGTAAGAATGAAACCTAACTTGTTTTGTCGAAGAAAATAAAGTGTGATTTCTTGCATGAAGGAAAAAAAATTCGAAGCGCAAGGTGACGCTTGTATATCTGACGCATTAAGTTACACTTCACCTTCATGCCATACAGCACGCCGGTAGGCAGAAAAGGAAAAAAATAATTTTCGACGCAACAGTTGACACTTCACTTTCATGCCATGTAACACGCCGATGACCACAATTACCCCCCCCCCCCCTTTTTGCAAAAGTTATTTTGAATAAAAAACATAAATCGATGAAATGACAAGCAACGAGGAGGGTGTAAAAGACTCGATTTGTTTGCCAACTGAATTAAACAGTATTTTGTATCTGACCTTCAGAGTTACAGCTTTTGTCGTGTTTACATTTGACCTTTTACCAAGGTAAAAATTTACTAAGGTCAAGTTACTTAACCTTGGTACATTCGTCGCACGTTTACACTAGCTCAAATAACTCAAACTGGCGGGAAATTCTAAAACCATGCTCGCTTCAAGAATTCAAGAAGTAAAGTGGTGGCTGTCGTGGCCATTGGTTTTTATTTCTTAATAGTCCATTTTCGAGTTCGCTGTGACCGCTGAATTAAAGAAGTGAAGACGCATTTTTTACAGCCTTAGCCTCCATCTGAAGTAATATATTCACAAATTCCAACGAGAAAAAGACCTGTTTATTACTCTGTCTATTGTGTATATTCAAATTTCAAACACTTACTTGCCAGAATTTCTGAATATTTTACTTTACGTCGAGGCTAACCCTGTATGAATGTGTCCTAAATGTTTGTATTCAGCGGTAATTTTTAATTCGAAACTGGACTATTCAAGAGTTGCAAACAGAAACGTCAAGATGTTGATGTTACAACACCTCAAGAGGTCGAGGCGAAAAAATACTCCAAATTGCTGTAAAAAATATCAGACGAGCTAGACGTGCGTGGGCATGGCCGCGAAATCAGTTCTGGTTTGAGAGCCTTTTGCAAGAAGATTGGTGGAAAGAAAATTTCAGGATATCAAGGCGTTCCAATCGTTCTCTGACTTCTCTGTTATCTGACATGATAGAAATGCTTGGCCGAAAACGTGACAATCGTAAGGTCTGCTCACCGCGGGATGTGACATATTACACCGTCACAAGCGGATATATCTGTCATCTTGACCTTGGTTACCAACTGTAACCATGCCTGATCACAGGGTAATTACAACTTTTACCTTGGTCAAATTTCTTTTGTCTTTTGCGGCATTTATTAAAGTATCAGTTAGCGTTTACACACGGAAAATGTTTACCTAGGTAAGTAAACTCCCCTACCTCAGTAAACCGTTCAAGTCTAAACACAGCATTTGTATCGCTTTATTGCCGATATTATGGACACTACAGACATTATGGACTCTCGACATGACTGCATAGTGTCACAGTTTCCAAGGAAGATGAAACTGTGCCATAACGTGACATCACAGTCGTCATGTGGCAGCTTTTACAGTCTTTACACTTAGAAACAAGGCAAGTTTACGATTTTCCCAAAATCTAAGTAGCAGTAATTATTGTAACAACTATTTTTCATTTAATTTTTCCCACCACCTTCTCTTCCTCACAGGTAAAACAAGAGTTTAACTAGAGAAAATTTGATCTGAACGGCATGACGAGTCACCATTTCTCCCTGAAAATGTTCCTGTCATAAAACCTAATATATATATTTATATTTTTTTCTGACAGCACTGAACTTGACCTCATTCGACGTAAAACGTTTGCGTTTCAGGGATCTCTGCAATCAGAACAAAAAAACTGTGGTACGTACGTAAATTTCTTGAAAATTACAATATACACTCTTAGTTTTTTTACAAGATTTTTCCACTTTCAAGCCTGGTAAGTCTGGTTCAACCATGGTTTACCTGACTCTCCAGGCTTAACCAGGCTTTGGTGCAAGGGAACGTTCATGCCTAGAAATTTGCCAAAATGGCTACGAACATTCCTGAGAATCAGAGAAGAAAAAGTAACGTTTCACTGCTTTTACTTTCCTAAATCCAGAAAATCTGAAATACATAATATCCTACAAGGAATCAGAGTGCATGTAAAATTTTGTTCTTTCGACACATTCCTTCTGTGTTTCGTCAAAAATACATCATTCCTGTCATCAGATCTGTATGAAGCTTTAAAAAGTTATCAAATTGAGCGTAAGAAAGAACATTTCCAGGCTGAAACAGTCCAGAAAATAAGAACAGTCCAGGCTTAACTCGAAAAATGGACGTTCTTATGACCAAAAAAACAAAACAACACAAAACAAAACAAAACTGAAAAACAAAAAACAAGAACATGGTCAGTATCAGTCGTTATTTTGATCTCCAGTCCAGGTAAACAGTACAAAACAGAGTCTTATCAAAGTCGTGGGGTGCCACATAGTTCCTGCATGGAAATTTTATAAACATTATAGATCAAATTGTATTTTAGAAGTAGTCAATCATTTTTTTTTTTAAAAGGTGTTCACAAAGTACATTACAGAGCTAAAAGGCACAATTGTCGCACAAAAATACAGTGAGATATGAACTAATAAAACTATAGCATCAAGTGCTAAGTTTACTCTTAAACCCCACTTTATAAACTTCTAATTCCGTAACCACAAAACCGTCAGAGCCAGTGAAGTATTCTGTTTTGTTCTCGGAACTGGGAAAGTTGAAACCGTAGCCGAGATCAAGGTAACCTGCTTGATTTCCGTCCCAAATTTTGAGGTCGTAGTAGCTCTTATTACCGAAAGCTGGTCCCCTACCACTACAGCATCGTATTCCGCCACCTGGTTTTGAGGTAAGCTTTACCGGTTGGTTCCCAGCAGGATTGACCAGTGTAAACAAAAAGGATTCAGTGTCAGCAAAGGTGATTAAGGAGGAAGCTAAACAATAAACAATAAATAAATAAATAAAACAGCCAAAATGCACCCCTAAGGACCAACATTTCAAAAGAAATTAGTTAGGAGATTTTCTGAACCTTGTATACAATGGATATTAGTCTGAAGTTCAAGAAAAATAGTTTATACTTGATCAATAATAGAATTGTTAATTGAAATTAAAAATTGATGATTGATTAATGGATTGCATGATACCATTCATTCTCAGTTTCAACAATGTAGTACTGCGTTGCTTGGGCTATGTGAATAAATATCATAAGAAAAAAAAAATAGTACTTGCTCTTTTAGGTAGTATTTTAATGTTTCCTTTACAAAAGAGCGAAATCCTGAACAGAAATCCTTTTGGTGGGCCTTTAACGTTTATAATGATGACGATGATGATGATGATGATAATGATGATGTTGATGATGATGACGATGGTGATGATGATGATGATGATGATGATGATGGTGATGATGATGATGGTCGTGGTAGTAGTGGTGGTGGTGATGATGGTGATGATGATGACGATGATGATGATGATGATGATGATGATGATGATGATGGTGATGATGATGATGATGATGATGACGATGATGATGATGATACTCATGATGATGATGATGATGATGATGATGATGATGATGGTGATGATGATGGTGGTGGTGGTAGTAGTGGTGGTGGTGATGATGGTGATGATGATGATAATGATGATGATGATGATGATGTTAATGATGATGACGATGATGATGATGATAACGATGATGATGATGATGACGATGATGATAATGATGATGCACGCCATGTACACCCGAGGGACAAGGTTTATCTCTACTGACATAAATCTTAAGTCTGAAATATTTTACAAATTGATGGAGCACATACGTGATGTCCATGACTTTGATGTGTAGCCGCCAAAGATGTATACTCCACTTTGTATCACTATAAGGGTAGGCCCTTTGTTGTCACAGCAACGGTGAAAGTCCGCAGCAGTCTTTCCGTCGATCCTGGCTCGGAACAGCAAGGTACAAGAAGCACAAGGAGGCAACCATGACATGACAGTGAAGCCATGATCTTCATTCTTTATTATTTTGGATAGTTTGGTTAAGTTTTCACTTAGTTGACCGATTATCCCTTGAATCTGATAAAAGTCGGCTTCGTTAAGTAGTTCTTTCCTGAGAATTTTGTTTTCTGGGAAAAGGAACTCGCCATTTCGAAGATAGTTCAAAATGTACCTAAGCGTAACATTTATTATTTACTAGGTTAGAAATAAACAAAACAAAGTTTTTAATGTTGTAGAATCAAAAGACAAATGCGTGCTCCGTTTTCTATGTAACCGCTGACATGGCAATCTCTTTTTTCAATTGTTATTTGTTAGAAGCTCTTTCTTTCAGTCCGTTTCGTGAATAATCAGTCCTCGCACAAACAACCATGTTTTTAGTCACATCCGCTACAAAATGTTCAGGGAGGCTGAGGGTTTGACATTACCTTTCGAGTAACGCACGTTACTCGGAAGAGTCGTGTTTTGAAATTTTCGCGTTTATAATCATATTTATCGAATTAATCTAGCTCAGTTTTTTGTTTACAATCTCGATTTGCTCGTACTTATTTTGAGCGTTGTTCGACTTGCATTAGCAGTAACGCCAGAAATCGATATTCGTTCGTAGTATTAAATATTGGCTCCTGATGTTAGAATTCATGCTGCTAGCAACGTTCACTTGTGTAAACATTCAATTAAAACAGTCGAAGATTTGCATAAAACAGATTCAAAAACTTACGTTTTTGAAATTTCAACTTATATATGGTATTTCGGTTTTACCATTTGCGTGCTCCTGGCAGGAAGAATCCTTCAAATTGTAACAGTCACCGAATCATTTCTGTAGAAACTGTACATATAGCCACCAAGCAAGGAAAAAGGAAAAACGTGTTGCCGGCACGTGCAGACAAGAAGTCGCTATTAGAGATATTGCAATCACGTGACCCACGCTCGCTACGCTGTCGCACGTTGGGCTTCGTTTACGGTAAAGTCCGGGCGTCCCCTCATATCCAATTTAAAAAAAAACAGAAAAAAGAAAAAAACAGGGAGCTTTCCTTCTTTCTCATCTTAAACGGCGTTTATTTTCGAAGACGCTTCCTGGAGTGGAATTTTTAATAATCGCTGGACGGAAACGAGCGGTTTTTAAACCGATGATCTCGTACATCAAGTCCACTGTTATTGCGTGTTAAATATTACGTTTTTCAAGGATAAGATCATAAGCACAAGGCAGGTACAAAACACGTTTTTACCACATGCACTCACTCAAGGAATATTATTTCAAATGTCATAATGAATAGCACCTAGTAACGGCAAGGCAATACTCCGCAGTTCTGCTCACGGAGAAAGTATATCGTTTCTTTTACTTCTTAGTGAGGGTAAAGTTCGTTTTAACTTTACGTTCTATGGCACATGCAAACTTACCTGAAAAGTTTACCATCGCGGTCAATAAAATATGCGCCATCTTCGGGGTCTGGTTTCACTACATGCCTTCCGCAAAACATCGCACACAGCATAGAATCTGGATCTTTTTTCAAGGTCTCCAGTGTTGTTTTATATATCTTTCCACCGACGTTCAACTTAATCGTGCTGCCAACGTGGACATCCGAGTCTAGGGTTTTCGACAACTTTTCAGCGGCTGACGTTTCAGGTTTAAGATTATCAAGGCCCTGGTTAATGAGTTCACATGCTTCGTCCATAAGCTTGTGTGCTTCGACTAACTTAGCGCGAGCCAAGTCAAATAAGCCCAGTCGCAGTTCCTCTTGAGCAGACATACCCACTCATTTAACTCCCGCTATCAAAGTGAGGAAGTGAGACCACGTTCCACTTCATAAGCAGCTAAGCTCCACTTCATGTAACTTTAGTCTGGTTTCCATGATAGTATTAGAGATCGTCACTTGGTGATCGCTGCAATCGTAGTGATGTTCAAGAGCGGTTCCTACATAATCCCTGCGACGCTCAACCTTCGTTTTTTAGCATCTCCCGTCAAACTTCCGTTCTTTTAACGTATACCACTCAAAATAAATCAATCCACGTATGGCATCGTGTCCAAGATTCGAACCCAGGCCATATCAATTTGGAGGCGAGAGCTACATGTATAACCTGACCGCGCGCGTCTCTCTCATCGACATCGAGAGCATTGCTTTTCTCAATAAACCTTGGTCCTAGAACAGCTCCACATTGTATACCTGCACCGGCTCCACGTTCTGGGGTAATCTTGATCGGTTCAGTTCCAGAAGGGTTCCCAGTGTAAACAGAAAGCACTGATCGTCTGTTTTTTTTTTATGGGAAGAGGCTAAGTAAACAAAAAATCATTTTTCGGAAATGTCCTACCATAGTGGCAGTTCAAATTCAATGTTATGAACGTTAACTCTTTCACTCCCCGAAGTGACCGAAGTCAAATAAGACAAAAACTCCAAATTTCATTTGGGAAAAATTTTGAAACTAATTTGTTATTTAAGATTTGGAAACTAATTTACTATTTAGCAAATAGTACCGTGTGAAAGTACTGCTGAAGAGGTTTCATTTGATTGAGTACGAGCTTTTTCCTCGCTATAACCATTGTTCAACATTGTTTAGATCGTTTTGTAGAACCTGTTTGATGATTTCTGCGCTGGAGTCAGAGGAGTAGATAACCGTATCGTCGGCACACATGCCTATCGATGACTTCAGCAAAATTTGCGGGAGATCATTGATGTATATGACAAACAGTATCGGGCCCAGTATGGATCCTTGAAGGACCTCATACGCAATTGCTAGACTGGATGACACGTCTTGGTTATATTTGACCTTCTGGGTTCGAGTAGTAAGATAGTGTTTAAACCAGTTCAGACTTTTCCCTCTAATTCCATAATGTCCTACTTTATGCAGCACACAATGGTAGTCAACGAGATAAAAAGTAACGCTCTTTTTAGATCTATGAAAATGGACCTAGTAATCCTCTGTTTATCCATTTGTTCTAAGATGTGATCGACAAAATGTACAGTGGCAGTTTCGGTGGCAAGTTTCTTCCGGAATCCTGATTGATGTACTGATAAGGAATTGTTTTTGTAAGAAATGCCACAAGCTGTGATTGAATTGCACGTTCCATTACTTGGGGAGCAAGGGATGGCGCAGTGGTGAGAGCACTCGCCTTCCACCAATGTGGCCCGGGTTCAAATCCCGGCGTCCACGCCATACGTGGGTTGAGTTTGTTGTTGGTGCTCTCCTTTGCTCCAAGAGGTTTTTCTCCAGGTACTCCAGTTTTCCCCTCTCCTCAAGAACCAACATTTCCAAATCCCAATACGAGTAGGAATAGGGTAGACGAAGAACCACTTTGTGGATGTGCTACCTCCAAATCATTATTATTATTATTACTTTTGAAATCAACACGAAGAACTAAAATCGGGCGATAATTATTTGGGTCGTTCTTATCTCCAGATTTGTAAATTGGAGTTACCTCGAGTTCGCACTTTTCCATTCTGATGGTATCATACAGGTAGAAATTGATGAATTTATGAGATAGACAATGGTTCTACTCAGATAGTTCATTTGCTGCATCCTTCAATAACCGAGCAGGAACTCCATCGAGCCAAAGCTCTCAATGTTTATCGCCGCTGTTTGTGATTTATTTTTGAGAAAACAAAACGCATTTCCAGGCTTCTCAGACAATAATAAAAGAAATATACGGTATCAATTAATTAAGATTATAATTCAATCTGAGTTTTTAAACTTAAAATCTCACTATTCAACATTCGTTATTACAATATTCTGCATTGTTTTCTTTGAGGCAGTCGCAGGCACTCTTGGACTTGATGACGTGCGTTTCGAACAATTATCGATTAAAATGTGCGAACGTCTCAGAAATAAGACTTTTATTTAATTACAACCTCTCAGAATAACTTTAGTGAAATTCGCATATCCTGGCGGCCGACGCCCTAAAATTCACTCTTTGTCCATTATTCTCTCTTAGTCGAAAATTATGGCTCTGTTTGGGCACAATCCAGATTATTATGCCGCGGACAGCTGTTAGTAGTAACCATTGCTAGTTTGTATTATACAAATTTTGGCCCATACTGACAAAAACCACTAATTATGCCTACGAACCTGTTTTATGATAAACACAGACGAACTCAAGCTTCTTCTTCTTTTTTTGTTTTCGTCTGAAGAGCGTACAGATTTTTAAGGACGTCGAGGTACACAGGAAGTTGAATTGAACGACGGTTTATTACTGAGCTTCTTAGTTCTTATATAGGTTCCAAGATTTTCTAAGATGAAGTTAGGCCTAGAAAGTGGTTGTTTTTATACTAAACGTTTAGGTTAAGTGGTTTTTAAGAAAGGTCAATAGTATTCTTATGTACAAAATAGGTGTTAGGAGGTGGTACAACTGATAGAACAAAAGAAACCGAAATTTAGTTGAATTCAGCTGCTTGTGGAAAAAATTTAAATATCTCTATAGCCAAATTCCTATACGAGAAGGTAAAACGATGGTTAATGAAAGAAACCAAATTTTCCTAAGATTCTGTCGAAAAAAATTCTAGTTTGAAATTAGGAATTATAATAAGTGAAATTTAGCTGAAAATAGCCCAAGTATGAACAAAGAACTAAAAAGCTGTAGATCAGGAAATCTGATTATGATTCAAGTTTGGAAGCGGAAGTGAGAACCAACTTCAGGTTTAAATAGACGCACTTCTTTTACAGAAATTGCTTCTTTCCCATTCCACAGCTGAATACATCTACTAAGGGAAGTAATTATTTCTATCTATCGTACTTGTTTCTATGGTTTCTTAAATAAGCTTAAAGAGGTGTTTCTTACATGTAACCTCAGTTAAACCTTAAATTGCGAAAGACTGAAACCACACTTATGATGTTTCCTACATTAAACCGAGCGTATACAACTTCTATTTTTTTTATTGATCCCCACACCAAAGAGGTCGGTGCAAAAATTTTTCGTTAAAGACTTAACTGACGAGCAAAGGTTTGCTAGTAGAATCTAAAGTGTGTCCAGCTGTTCTGACAGCTTGTAATCACCATCCTGTGTCCCTCAACAAAAAATATTTGAGATATAGGGGAACTTTTGATGTCCGAACCGATCTAAAAACAAACTTATTCATATAACCCTGAATTAAGTTAAAATGCCCGACACCGAACTAAATAGAATAAACTGAATAAATATTCATGATTAAGAGAAGCGCAATCCCATGCAATAAGCAGACGGAGCAAAAATGTACCATATTAAAAACATACTAGCGTAAACAAGGCCACGCACAGTAAATGAACTGATACTCATTTTATAATGTCGAGATTTGATTCTAAAACATAATTTCATATACTTCTAGATCAGTGATCTCAAAACCGTTCGAGCCTGTGAAGTACTTATTTTTGTCTACAGATTCGGGACGGCGGAAGCCATAACAAAGATCAAGATAACCTTTTTCATCCTTACACCAGATCTGTAGATCATAATTCTTCGCGTTACCAAAGCTCGGTCCCTTATCACTGGAACATCGTATACCACCATCTGGGTTTGAATCGAGCTTTGCCGCTTGGTTTCCAGTGGGGTTCACCAGTGTGAATAAGAAGGACCCAGTGTCACCAGTGAAAGTTTGAGAAGAAGCTAATAATAGATAGATAAATAACCAATAAATAATTATGATAAATAAGTGAATAAATAATAAGACTTGTGTTGACAGCGACTGACGTATTGGCAACTAAATCACGTATTCCATAGACTATAAATAATAAATTCAAAGTAAAACTATTACTCACCTGAAGACCATGACTTTGAGGTATAGCCTCCGAATATGGAACTTCCACTTTGCATCACTACAAGGGTGGGTCCTTTTTTATTACAGCACCGGTGAAAGGTTGCAGCATTTTTCCCCTCTGTGGCGGCTCGGAACAGCAAGGTACAAGAAGCCCCAGGCGGCAACCATGACATAATAGTCGAAGCTTGACTTTCTTCCTTTATTATACTGGATAAGATGGTTAGGTTGCCTTTGAGTTGAGTGATTATCCCTTGAATCTGATAAAAGTTGGCCTCATCAAGAAGCTCTTCCCCACGAGTTTTCTTTTCTGGGCAACGAAGCACGCCATGGCGAAGGTAGTTCAATATGTACCTAAGTGTATAATTTTAGTTAAAAAACTATAGATCAGATAGCTCGGCAATGTTTCAGAAAGATAGGCCAGCTGCAGGACAAAGTTTTATTCCGATGTGATTAAGTTACGGCTGTTTTTTTTTTTGGGAGGGGGGGATTGGGAGGGTGGGGTATTTGATATTTGAGGTGGTGGCTTCCACCGTACCACATTCTCCTGTCCCACCTTGTGCGTCCGAGACATGACAGTCAGTTGGTAAGGCCCGATTATGCGTGACGCATATTTTTACTGACTTCTAGTAATCATAGATTAGTGTTAGTGTTAGATTAGTTCGAGTCTGCTTCGTTTTACCGTCAAGCAATGGGGTAAATGTCATGGAAATATATGTTTTTATTTATGATTCTTTCTATGCTCTCATTCTATTTTAATCACCCTATAAGAGATTCCCCAGATTAGGACTTGCGTTAGGCCAAAATATCATAATTAAGAAAGTATGTAAGGCTAAGCGGTTAACTATCTGAAATAGCCCTCACTTCTGTTCTGTCCTGACCATGATGAATGCATATTTATTTATCATTTCCCTTGTAAGCATGAGCGCGCGAGAGTGAAGATTCCACTGCATGCATCATTATGGCTTGTATGACACTTAACGGAAGAGTTTACCATCGCGGTCAATAAAATATGCCCCATCGTCGCCGTCTGGTTTTAGCTCATGCCTTCCGGAAAACATCGCACACAGCATAGAATCTGGATTTTTCCTCAGGGTGTCCAGTGTGGTTTTATATACTGTTCCACCGACGTTCAACTTAACCGCGCTTCCAAAGTGGACTTTATCTAGGGTTTTGGACAACTTTTCAAAGGCTGACTTCTCTTCTTTAAAATTGTCAAGATCCTGCTTAACCAGCTCACGTGCTTTGTTTTTCAGTCTAATCATCAATCGTGACGCAATACAAAAGACTGGAAAAGATTCTAAAAAATATCCACAATACGACACACAAGGGATAACACCAAGAAAGCCCCTCTCCCCGGGGGGGTACTGCCATATATGGGCTATATAGGTATGTGCCGCTGTGAAGGGTATGGTTTTCAGGCAGTTTACTCTAGGATAGGGTATATAAATCAGAGCGTTTGGGTCTAGAATAGGGTATCATTTTTCAGGAAACTGATCAGTTGGTAGAAGATTTTATCTAGACAAGGGAAACAGCTACTCTAGGATAGGGGATTTGGGGAGTTTACTCTAGTATAGGGTAGCAAAATTCAGCTGAACTAGCTCTGGTATAGGTTAAGGGTCCCAGGGTCCCAGCGGAAGATCCCCACCCAGAAATTCCTAAAGCACCCCCCGGCCCCTCTCCCAGAGATAGTGGTAGTGTTGTTTTCTTAAAATCGTCGACGTCCCAAAACCATCATATATATTTGTCTACTGATCACAACAATCCTTAAAATCATGAAACCAGATGAGAAGCACAATTGCCGTACTTACCTCACGCTGGTTTTGCTCAGTTGTCATCATGCGTTGCATAGTTCACGAAGCTGCGATGATACAAAACGCGCCAAAAAATATGTTGTTGGAATTGTAAGATTGGTTTACTTCACACCAATCACGTTATTGCAAAATATTTGAATTATTATTGTTACATTTTCTTTCTCGGAAAGGCGAGTCTACAAGAACTGGCAAGCTTCGACGATTATCCGGCAGATTTCATACAAATACTCTAATCTGTAGACCGGGAGAGACAGTCCAGATCTGGAGTCTCCCGGATTCTATCAGTCTTTCAAAACGCTTATATTTCAGCTGTTTGAGAGCCGATTTACATAAACTTTTACAGAGACATTGTGAAATGATGGAAGTTTAGAAGGGTTGTTATTAATTTGGTAGATCGCACTACACAGTGATGCTTTAAGCCACAGTTGGGGTATGAACTACATGTCAGCACATTATGTAGTCGTGCTACATAAATTAAATGAGCACTTTGAATAACGTCTTGTAAGTAGTAAGCGTTAGTAAAAACCTTTTCTTTTCTGTACTTTGTACTCCTCGCTTGTCCTTTTCTGTCCTTATTCGTCCTTTATGTCCTTACTAGCAGTACGCTGTGATTCTATTATGATTTTATTCCTCTAGTAAGTGTGTCATGTATTGGGCAGATTTTCCAATTTAAAGTTTCCCAGCAAGCTATAATCGTTTAAAGGAGCAAAATCTGTCATCCCTGAAATTAGTCACAGTGATTTTACATGAACCGTGAAATCGAAATAGATACTAACAAATGGTGAAAAATAGCCAAAGGTAAACAATAGAGGACAATAGAATCTATAGTGCATAATGTTCGTAGTATTTTACTCCGTATATTTCACGGTTCAAGTAAAAATCACTCAAACGCCTTGTATCTTTTTATAGAGGCGCTCTTTTAGAATTCCACTCAATATATAACACACTACCATCTATACTAAGTGTACCCCTCTGAGGTGCCACCTTTTGAAGTTTTGTGCCTGCGGTGAATTTTTAATGAACATAAAATTGTCGGAAATATCAAATTTTGAGACTCCCCAAGGTTTTCTCGACTAAAGCACGAGTTCCAAGCAAGATATGTAATTACTCAGAGGTAATTATGGTTAATTACATTCCACGCTCAAATTTTGCTTATAAGCTGCAACATTTTGAAGGATGTTTTATGCAAGAAAAAGGAAAAAAAGGTACAGAGAGTTTTGGTATTAAATTTGGTTGAAATTTCTAAAGATTTCCTTATTTTAAGTTTATATTTTTAAAAAATCACGGAAACAAGGTTGGATTCAGCGCCCGTTTGTTACTTTTGAATAAACATTTTGTTTGCAGTCTACGTGCCAAACGTACACGTGAACACTTAAAATCATGCGCTCGTCTTTTATCCAGTTGTGAACATCTCGTAAACATGTAGAAATCAGTCGTTGTACTTCGTGTAGACGCTTTAAATAAATGCATAACCTGAAATTCGTGAATCGCAGGAACTAGCGAGCACTTTTAAGGGCGGGGAGGGGTCTGGATCCCCGCACCCTCCCCCCTGCTCTCCCCTGAAAGCAAGTTAGAAACCTCTCAGGAAATGTGTGTCGTTTGTAACGAGCCAATTAAAAGCAAACGAAAATTGGCCTTCGGGATAAATACGACTCTACACTGTAACATTCCTGAATGCGACAGGAACTATACGCGGAAGAACACCCGTTTTTAAACTACGTCTGTTCAATATAACCAGAAAGTAAAGTTCCAGCAATCAAGGACAGGAATCTCTTTCTTTTAACATAATTACATTTTCTTTCTCTTTAAATGATTGAAATCCAAGTCAATCCACCGAATGTGCTAAGGCAAAATAAACAGGAGAAACCACCTTGTTTTGTGAAAGTTTCATTTTCTAATACTTAAACGTATCTCTAAATTAAAGTCAACTTTAAACAGTTCCAGTTCTGTGACGTTAAACTTCTGTTTGCTTGTGAAGAAAGTCTCGTGGTTTGCGTTTTGAGCACACACAAAGCTACTGCTTAAGTTTTGGTAACCTATCAAGCCAAAGCCACTAGCACTCTCATCGACATCCAGAGCATTGTCTTTCTCAATAAACCTTAGTCCTAAATCAACTCTACAACGTATACCAACGGAGGCACCACGTTTTGGGGTAATCTTGATCGGTTCAGTTCCAAAAGGGTTAGCCAGTGTAAACAGAAAGCACTGATCGTCCGCTATTTTTTTACTGGTAGAGGCTAAGTAAACAAACAAACAAAAAATAAAGATGTTTATAGCACACATTAGAATGGTAAAACCTTGTAGAGAGAGGTTACAACTGAAATGGTAGATAAGTTTTTGTTTATTTATTATATTTATTTATTATTTATATCGAATTTTTTGCAAAATTAGAGACATTTACCGCGGTTAATATCATGGATCAGGTTAGACATATGGGTGATATCATAGCTTGAAATTTCAAAATTAATTAAATTTACATGAAAACTTTACGTACGTCTCAGTGCGAAGATAGCGTCTAATATTTAAAACTTCATAATAAAGCTGGTAGTTAATTCGATATTGTCAGCTGAGCATAGTGATTATCCCTTAATTTTTAAGAACTGTCCAATTAAATATTAATTTGGATATTTTCTGATAGGGCTTTCACTTAAAAAAAAGGCAATCTGTCCAATTAAAAAAAAAAAAACAAAAGAAAAAAAACAGGACAGGTTGTCTGAACCAATCAAATACCAGAAAATATATTATAGGCAATACAAACTAGCCAACTGGCACAAACTTCCTGTGACAATTTTAAGCAAATCTAGGTATGAACTACAGATCTCTTTCACTCTTCTGAGATAGAAATATACAAATAAGCACAGCACTAAACAGTACTTAAAATCTTTTGGGAAGTAGGAAATCGCCGCATAAGCCAAAAGCAAGCATCTAAGGGCAGTATGAGATCTTGAAAATTCTCCAAATCGTTCTCCTCCGTAATGTTTTTCAGAAAAAGGAAGCAGTATTTTGATCTCGGGTTTTGATCCATATCTCTCACGAGATGCGAACTCGACCGTGTCACGATTGAAATGAGGCACATAAACAGTTTTACCCATGGACCTTTGTGGGTCGTGACGCACACCGCATGCATTAAAAGTATTCCTCTGAGAGGACATGCGCTTACTGGCAATGAATAGTCTGTAATCCAAAAAGAACGTGACTCCAGCCAGAGCGGCTGAGGAGATAACCCTCCGGACGGACGGACGAAGGACGGACTAACGCAGGCGCTGACATAGAGCTTTACTGGCTATAAGCCAATAGGGAGTTTAAGATACGGAGACTACGGACTACGAACTACGGCTGGACGAGCGTTGTCCTTTGTTCGTAGCACTGGGTTGAGTCGTGCAAATATAGAACGTTAAGATCGCACTACACACAGTAGACTACGAGAGAAGAGGTGGAGAGGGAAACAACACGCAAAGATTTTCTTGTTTTCATCACAGTTCACAAAAATGCAAGTCAGTTTTGCATGTGATCTTATCTTTAGAACAATGAACAAATTCTTCCATACTTGAAGGAAGCAATTACGTCGGGTGAAATTGGTAAACAAAGTTTTGGTTACACAGGTTTTATTTTTTCGCCCATGAATACTTATGTCAAATATTAAAGAAATAGAAAGAAATAGTAATAGCTCGTATATTAGATTTAGAAGATGGACTTCTCCGACTACTGATCTGATGTAGTTTGAAGTATTGAAATGCCGAGTTTCGATTGTCTCGAAGATGTTTACATCATTTTCATTCACCAAATGGCGCGATACAAAAACTCGCAGAAATAAATGTTACACAAGTAGAAAGACACACTAATCAGTTCGAACAAACATTGAAACTTCTCAAGTCCGAAGACAAAGTAAATTACCTGCATGATTTTTCTTCTCCTAGGCCGTCAATCTGAATTCTGCGTATAAACAGCTAAGCTTATTTAAATATGAGCTTAGCTAGATAAAAATGTAGTAATGAACGACAGTGGATTAAAAGCGTAAATCTCAGCAGAAATTAGACACAAATTACATATTTCGCTTCCCTCTCGCTTAAAGCAAGTGTATTGAAAACTTTTTTACGAAAAGACTAGATTCTTGAATTACCGAGACGGCAAAATACGAGCAAAATGTTCTCCGTAGTCCCGACTACGCGAAACAGCTCAACAACTCACCGTAGCCGCACGACTACGCGGGAAAAATGAACAGTCACGTGGTTTTGATCATGGGCAGTAGCATATTTATCCGTAGCCGTAGTCCGTAGTCGGCGTATCTTAAACTCCCTAGTAATTAAGCTAACTGAATACTGAATAAAGATGTCAGGGCACCACATTATGACAGATGTTTTGTCGAAAAAATTCAGAAACTTGTGACCTTGACTTGGCCCAAATTTTTGCTCTAAACTTTTCACTACGTGGAGTTCTCGATACGATAAACAAGTGAAAAAACAAACAAACAAACAAACAAAGCAAAACAAAAAAACACGAATGTCACCTGTGATAGCGGAGCTCTCGCGCACCATAATAAAACGTCGTAAACGGCGCTTATATTCGGAAGGAGCCTATAATGGGATGTATACTGTTTACAGGTAGACGGGCCTATAAATGGGTTGTGGGGGATGGGGGCTTACAAGCAGGGTACATACTACATTAGATCAACGACTTACGCGACGAGCAAGACTTCGAGGTGTATCCACCAAAGATATATTCTCCACTTGTTAACACCACGAGAGTTGGCCCTTTGTCCTTAGCAGTTTAACCATCAGCAGAAGCTTGGCATAACATGGAACAAGCTGCACCTTCAGGTAGCCATGACATGAGGAAAAACGGTGATGATTGTCCTTTATTGCGGAAGATGCTGAGGGGAGGAACACTGCTTGTTATAGCTGATCGATTATTCCTTGCACCTGATAAAACTTCGCCTCAGCTCTGAAAGCTGGTCTTCTTGAATTGTTCTGTCTTTTGGACAACGAAATTCGCCGGTTCGAGGATAGTTCAAGATGGACCTTAATTGGAAGTAAAAACGTTCTCTCTTACGAGAAGAAGGCAAATTTTAATTAACTGAACAGAGTAGGTGGGAATGTTTAAGTTGCAATATTTATGATTAGTATTAACTTAAACAGTGGATAGTAGTTTTCGCGCGCTCTAATTTGCGACTAAAAGTCGGGATATCCAGCGATATTCACTGTTTCACCTCCAGCTCCTCCGAGCGAGCGACGCCAAACTCGCGTAAGTTACGAGCAAAATGGTTTTCCAGTTTGCTGCAGTAACAAACAAAGAAATTTCACAAATAATTAAACAAGCTGTTCCCGAAATACACCAGGAAGGTGACGGAATTCGGTTTGGACGTTTTTAGCCGGGAAAGCTTTGTCTGTTTGACTTGAATTTATCGGCATGCACTAAAATCCAAAACAACGAAACAAACCACCGAAACAAGCGAAACGACTAAACCGACCGAAACGAAATGGCCGAAACAAGCGAATGACCAAAACAACCAAAACGTAACGACCGGAACAAGTAACGCAGTCGAACCGACAATAAAAAACCATCAAACAAGCGGAAGTCGGAATATCGAGGAAATGACCATGTCTCGTGATAGAACTGCCAAGAGCCCGGGTCAGCGGTGCACCTCACCCCTTTACCACGAGGAGCGGTTTAAGATGTCTCCCAACGATCCCTGGTACGAGCACCCCTCAAAAGAGCAGTAAAAAGAAGAAGAGCACAATGAAGGATCTAAGACTGATTCAGTGTCCTTAGCTAATTTTAATTCAAAGATGTGATCCAAGTTAGCAACTTATACGGCGCAAGAGACCCTGAGTGGTATGCAATCTTGTATGCAAGTTGTCAGCAAAGATACTAGAAGTCTTTGAATTTTTTGCTTTCTTTGTTTGCAATTTGTTGATACGCTGTAGGCACTGCAACCAGATCAATGACTGTGATCTTTTTTGCAATATAATTCTAACTAGCGTCTTACAGTTTAGGGAAGATAAAGATGGCTGACAGTCATCGAAACTGTCAGCATCAATAAGACGTCAAGACTGGCTATGTCTTAAGAACATTTAAATCGAAGATTTACATAGGGTGCTTCACGTACGAGTGTGATCAGATTATTACAGACTTCCCATAAATATGGTATTTGCAGCTTACTTACTGAAAAATGCAATTTGTACTCCCTGGGTGGGGCATTTGTAACTCCCTTTCAGCTCAACCGTGGGGTTTTTGTATGAACGCCGGGCCCAACCGTGGGACATTTGCAGTTTCTCTAAAATAAATTGACTAATGCCCGACAAATGCCCTAGTCATGAGCTTCATCAGTAAGTTTTTGGGCATCGGATAGTTTTGCAGTGGCCAGGATAAAATAAGCTCAAATCGTGATCCTGTGCTGCGACCATTTCCGCGCTGAAGTGAAAATATTGAGCCCTCGTTCTCCTTCTCCGTCGAAAAGCGTTCCTACAACTGCTGAATGTAAAGGCAAATAATGTGCCCGATTTATTCATAGCATGCATGCAAGCGTTAGAATTCACTACTACGTTTTCAACAAAAATGGACGTTTGAGAGTTTCTTCTTAAGTGACGAGCACATGTCACAAACCCGCTGGTCTAAGACAAATTTTGAATAGAGAACGGGCTTGGTTGTCTCTAACTTGCTTTCCATCTACTCTTTTATTTCTTTATTTTTAACTTTAGCTAAGTTAGGTTTGTTTTGAAAACAACTTGAGCGTTCGGCCGATAGACTGGCCATCGAGCTCAAGCGAGAAAGCTCATTCTGATTAATATTCGATCGATCAGGCATTTTTTTTCCTGGGGAAGTTGAAAGTAGGCGGAACGGGAGAGGAGTCCTTTTCCCTTCTTCTCCTAAAGAAAAAGGGAGGAGGGGGCCACCGGCTGGCGGAGCGGCAGCATCCTTTTATTTCATTTCATGTTTTCATTTATTCATTTATTTACAACAGTAGGTTTGATAACAAAAAACAACAACAACAACTACTACTACTACTTTGGACATGCAGAACACTTTTTTGCGCACTTCTTTGCCGTTGTTAAGAACGACTAAAACGTGAAACTTCCAGAAACTTCCTAGTCATGTATATGTTTTATGGAGGAAATGTTTGTGTTCCTGTTCACTTTGTTTTTTCACTGTCGCTCATTTTCCCTTTGGTGGCCGCTAGCATCTCTCATTTTCTCACCACCGCTATAAAATTTTCATGTTTTTCTTGCAATCGAAATTGGTCTCCCTTGTGTTTTATTTCTCGCTGTTATCCACGTTAACGTAGACATTAAAATTTAGTCGAAAGAAAGAATCGGTTTTATTCTTGTTGCGTTTGTTTTGTTCTCTTTTTTCTTTTTCTCTAAAAGTCCGGCGGCCATGCGATTTACCGCGGAAAAAATTTTACGCTATAACATACTTCTCCCCCCACGGCCAAATTCCCCGCCCCCGCAGCGTCTGTACGAACGGTCCGGGCGTATTGTCACGTGATTACCAAATTTCTCGGATGGATGGGTCGGGTTACCAAATTTTCTTAGGTATGGGGCTCCGCTCCCGCGCGTGAAGCTCCGCTATTATACAATATTTTCATGTTTTGTGAGAGTTTAATTTTCTAATACTTAAACGTATGTCTAAAAGTCAACTTTAAAAACTTCCAGTTCTGTGACGTTAAACGTATGTTGGCCTAAGAAGAAAGTCTGGTGATTTGCGTTTTGAGGACACATGAAGCTACTGCTTAAAGTTTCGAAACCTTTCAAGTTACCACCACTCTCGTCGACACCCAGAGCATTCTCTTTCTCAATAAACCTTGGTCCTAGAACAGCTCCACATCGTATACCTGTAGTGACACCACGTTTTGGGGTAATCTTGATTGGTTCAGTTCCGAAGGGGTTAGCCAGTGTAAACAGAAAGCACTGATCGTCTGCTATTTCTTTATTGGTAGAGGCTAAGACAACGGAAAAAATAATGATATTGATAGCACCCATTAGAATGGTAATTCCTTGTAGAGAGAGGTTATCATTTTTATTGAATTATTCCGCAACGTTAGGGATATTTACCGCGGTTAATATCATGGGTGACATATGGGTGATAACATGGCACCAAATTTCAACATTACTTTATAATTTCAAATGTGAAATTACAAAATTAAGATGAAAACTTTCCGTACGCCTTAGTAGCAAGATAGCATCTAACATTAATTTAAAATATTAATAATAAAGCTGGTAGTTAATCCGATCACATTGTCAGCATAGTGATACATCCTTTAATTGTGTCAATAACAAAATGCTTGAATATGATTGGTTCTTAACAGCCCATATTTATAGCTTAATTTTGCTATGTAACTCCAAAACTGTCCGATTTGACCTGTCCGATTACCAGAAGCTTGTAATCGGACAGGTCAAATCGGACAGTTAAAGAACCAATGAAAATCAAGTAGCAAATGCCGGATGCGAATAAAGAACTGAAGAATACTATTTCATCGATGAACAACCGACTGAAAACAATGAATCAAGACCTAGAGAATCAGCGCGAGGAAACCGAGCTCCTATCGGAAGAGCTTGACAACTTAGAGCAATACTCGCGGAAAAATTCCGTGGAAATCCATGGAATACCACAAGATGCCTACACAAACACGGAACAAGTTGTTATTAAGCTAGCCGAAGCCCTCAACATCACAGTAGAACCCGAGGATATAGAAATATCACATAAAATTAACAAGGGCAAAGCAATCATCGCTAAATTCGTAAATCACAAAGCAAAGGCGAGGCTGTACAAAGAGCGAACAAAACTAAAGGATGTGAGGTTGCATGATCTGTTTCCAGGATACCCTTCTTCTGGTAACCGTAGAATATACTTAAACGAGAACCTAACGCCATATAGAAGAGAGCTGGTTGAAGAAGCTAACAAACGCAAACACGATGGAACTCTTGTCAGTGTGTGGACCTTGGACGGAAAAGTTTATGTCAAGACCTCGCCGTCGGGGTCTCCGATCAGGATTAATTTTCTAAGCGATTGAAACGATTTGTAAGGTTGCGTACTTTCCACATTACCAACTTATAACTATAACCGGATGCAAAGTGTGGTAATTCATGTTTACGAGCGTCGGAGTTATCTGCTTCAAAGGTGAGCTTAAGCTGGCTAGTGTTTTGGTTAACGTGTGTCCCTGTATTATTTTTATTTTATTTATTTTATTTCTTCTTCTTCTTGTTGTACTTAGATTTTTCGAGTGTTTTTTTATTCTAATTTTTCTCTTACTGGGTTTATTTATTAATCTTATCTATGCACAATCAGTATCCTTTACTTGCTTTCAAAGTATGTCTACATTCACGCCTTTCGTTTGTTCAATCACACCTCAATCACGGCTCTTTTGTTTTTCAGCTATACAGTCCCACAATTTGCATACAGTAACACAAAAGTTAGTTGTTTAATGCTTTTAAACTAATATCGCTTAATGTGAAGGGCTTAAGTAATTTCCGCAAAAGAAGAACCATCTTTCTCTGGTGTCGTAAAAGTAAGGCAGACTTGGTTTTTTTGCAAGAGACGCACTCGATCGCTGCAACAGAGAATCAGTGGAGAAATGAATGGGGTGCTGAGATAATATCTTGCCATGGTAGTTCAAATGCGCGAGGTGTTGCGATTTTGTTTAAAAATGGTATTGATTGCAGCATTAATCATAAAATTGTAGACCCCGAGGGGCGATACATTATTTTAAAAGCTTGCATCCAAGATAAAGTCTATGTGCTGATTAATGTTTATGCGCCGAACAAAGATAAAGACCAAGTGAATTTTTTCAACAAGCTACTTTCAATTTTGAAAAATGAAAATCTGGATTCTGTTGACAACATTATACTAGGAGGAGATCTAAATTGCCCACTCGATCCATTACTCGACAAAAAAGGCGGAGCAAGTAGAAAAAGGAAATCAGTTATCTCTTGTGTCGACGATTTCAAAAGTAAATTAGATTTAGTAGATATTTGGAGATCCAAAAATCCTGACGCAAAAAGCTTTACATGGAGTCAGAAATCTCCCCCAGTGTTCTGTCGTCTCGATTACTGGTTGATATCTAACAATCTGAGCGATTTTGTTGAATTAGAGAAAAAGATTAAAGTTAGAGAACGAATTGAAAGGGCCAGGAAACTGGAAAATGAACTGCTCACTGTTAGATGATGAAGAGTACGAAGAAGATATAGCCAGGATGATTCCACTTTGGACAGCAGAAGGACAGAAAGAATTCACAGATAATCGAATGATATGGGATTGGGTTAAATATAACATAAGAGCTCATTCTATTCAATACTCTAAAAGAAAGGTAAAAGAAAGGGTGAAAAAGGAACTTGACCTTCAGGAAGAATTAAGTAAAGCAAAGGGTAAACTTGAAGATAATCCAAACGACCATAACACAACCCATTATAACGTAGTTCGGGAGAAGTTGGCGTCGTTTTACGAAGAAAAAACCAAAGACGTAATAATACGTGCATAAATGGTAAAACTACAACGGATCCGCACTATATACTAAAAGAACAAGAGCGTTTTTACAGGGAATTGTACAAAAGCAGCATTAATAGTCCTAATATAGGAGAGAAAATATCTTCATTTTTGAACGATCTGAATATTCCCCAACTTTCAGAGAAGCAAAAAAATTCTTGTGAAGGATTGATTTCTCCGGAAGAATGTTCTGAACTCTTGGACAGCTTCCAGAGTAATAAATCCCCTGGAAATGATGGCATTCCAGCTGAATTTTATAGAAAATTTGGGCCTTTAATAAGCGAAAGTTTTATCAGGTGCGCAAATGAATGTTTCGAAAAAGGGGACATGTCATGCTCAAAAAAACAGGCTGTAATTACTCTGCTTGAGAAAAGCGGAAAAGATCGCACTCTCCTCAAAAACTGGCGGCCGATATCTCTTGTTAATGTAGATACGAAAATTATGTCCAAGGTGATCGCAGCAAGGGTTAAAAAGGTGTTACCCAGTATCATTCACTACAACCAGACGGGTTATGTTAAAGATCGTTTCACTGGTGAAGCAATACGTTCTATCTTCGATATTATGGACTTCACAGCTAAGGAAAACATCCCAGGTTTACTGTTGTTTATAGATTTTCAAAAGGCTTTTGATAGTGTGGAATGGGAATTTCTCATTGAGAGTCTTAAAAAGTTTAACTTTGGACGAGACTTCCTTCAATGGGTGAAAACCTTTTATAACAACATTCAAAGCTGTGTTATAAACAATGGCGTTAGTTCTAACTTCTTTACTCTGGAACGTGGTGTTAGCCAAGGTGATCCACTCTCTCCTTACTTATTTATAATTGCTGTAGAAACTTTAGCAATTGCCATAAGGCAAAAAGAGTCAATTAAAGCAATCACAATAGGAACCGAGGAAACTAAGCTTTTACAGTTTGCAGACGATACAACCGCTGTGTTAGCTGACACAAGCTCGGCCGAAAGGTTATTTGAACTACTTAACAAATTCGAAATCATCTCTGGACTCAAGATTAACTGTTCAAAAACTGAAGGTATGTGGATTGGATCTAAGAGACATTATAAAGAAAAACCATTCGGTGTTAAATGGCCGGACGAGCTAATAAAAGCTCTAGGTGTGTATTTTACTTACGACCAAAAATTGCTTAAAGAAAAGAATTTTATAGAACGACTGGATTCAATTAAAAAACTTATTAATATATGGTCCGCTAGAGGCTTATCGATATACGGTAAGGTGACAATAATCAAATCTTTTCTTATCCCCAAGTACATTTACGTTTGTTCGATTCTTCCAACTCCCAATGAATTGCTAAAAGAATTGAATAAAATACAGTTTAAATTTCTCTGGAAAGGTGTAGATAAGGTAACAAGAGCTTCAGTTATAAATGAATACGAAGAGGGAGGGCTAAGAATGGTTGATCTCGAGTGCATGGTTAAATCATTGAGATTAGCTTGGTTAAAACGTATCTTCAGTGGGACTAATGGAACTTGGAAAAGCTACCTACAACACATAATGGGCTCCGTTGGGGGATTGTTCTTTTTTAACTGCAACTATGATATCTCGGATTACACAATTCCTTCTCAATTCTATCGGGAACTTTTGTTATGGTGGTCGCAATTTCGTGAAACGTTTGCCAGTGAAGAAGACTGGAAAACCATAATCTGGAATAACAAAGAAATAAAAGTAGAAAACAAGCCGGTTTATTATAAACATTATGTTAATGCGAGAGTCATTTCCATTCAAGATCTTTTAGTTAGTCTAAACAGCACTGATTCTTATAATGAACTGTCAAAAAAAGTATGCAAAACAAATATTTTAGAATGGGCTGGCTTACGTAGGTCCATTCCATTATCGTTAAGAGGTTATGACAGGTATCCTTCCATAAACTCTCCAACATTTGTGGTGGGTAACAATACTTTTGATGTTACGAAAGGGAAATCAAAGGATTACTACAACCTATTCATCACAGAAAAAGCTAAACCGCCCAATATTATTAAAAAATGACAGAGTAACTTTCATTTTAACAGCGACAATCTGAGGCAAATATTTAAGCTGCCTCACTCTATCGTTGTCGAATCGTATGTTAAAGCTTTCCAGTACAAGGTAATTAACTCAATTGTTTACACAAATACAAAGTTGTATAAAATAGGTTTTAGAGCAAATGATTTATGCTCTTTCTGTGACAATCAACCCGAATCATTAACTCATTTGTTCTATCACTGCTCGCGCTCTAAACAGTTTTGGATTGAATTTGAACTTTATTGGTGCCTTATTTCGAATCAACGACTTCGTCTCTGCTTGGAAAATGTGCTGTTTGGAATTTTGACGGAAAATACTTGCCCTTTACTTCAACTGCTGAACTATTTTATAATTATTGGAAAACTCTATTTGTGGGACTGTAGGAGCAAACAAATCTTTCCAAACATTTATGGATTTAGGGCCAAGATCATCGCTAAATATGAAACAGAAGAAAAAATCAGCAACAAAGTATTCTTTAAAAGAAAGTGGATACTGACGCCTTATTTAAGTTAACTGCATTAACTTCGTATTATTTCATTGCCCTGTTGTACTTTTTATAATCTCTTTTAGCCCTGTATTAATTTAATAATTTACTAATTAATCTTGCTTTACTCTGTTAATGTCTATTGTTAAAGTGTTTTGTTGTTTTTTGGTTTTTTGTTTTTTGTTTTTTTTCTGTAGTATTGTAACTGTAATTATTTAATGTGATTATCAATAAATATGTTGGAAAAAAAAAAGTAGCAAATGCCACTAGCCAATGAAATTTCACTACATGGCACATGATAACCAATCAAAATAAATGAAAAAATTGTGACCAGGTAAGCTGTCCTTTTATTCAGACATTTTTTCTTTAGACTTTGACAGCTTGTTTAATTGATTTAGAAAACCTTGGAAGTAAAGAAAATAGCGATACAGTCCCTGAAGTCTTAAATACAACAAACCGAGCGAGCGAGCGGTCCTGGCGGAAACAAGAAACAACTTACCAGCACCAGACGAGTCCAGGTTTCCACTTACTTCCACTGACCAAATCCAAGAAACAATTAAAGAAGCACAAAACAAGAACACAAAAAGAAGTACAAATACGTGGATGAGAGTTTGGTATTCTTGGGCAAAGTCACGTCAAATCAACGAGAGTATAGAAACAATGGCGCTCCCAACTTTAGACGGAGTCCTCAAAAAATTTTATCTGGAAGTGAGAAAGCAAGACGGCTCAGAGTATGAACCGGACTCACTTAAAGTTATGCAAGCGGCCCTGGAACGGTACCTATCCACCCAGAAATATCCATAAAGTCTGATAAATAGTCTGGAGTTCTCATCTTCAAGGGCTGTTCTTGAAGCAAAAGCAAAACAACTACGAATGAATGGTTACGGCAAGAGAAAGAATCGCGACCAGGCGACCATGATGGAGTGGCTCTCACAAACGTTAACTTCAAAAATTTGTCCGAGCACTTCGGATTTCGTGGCCGTCAAGACCATTACGACGCTTATGTACAAGATTTTGAAGTTGCGTGGATCCATATCCAGAGAGGAGAATTCGCAAAGTGCGTTCGTTTCAATGAAAATCCAACAAAGACCCGTTCCGGTGGCCTTTGAGCGAAACACAGAAAAACTCCTCAAGAGATGTGGGCCACAGACGGTGGACCAAGAGATCCAGTCCGGCTTTTTGAAGAATTTCTGAGAAGGCGCCCCTCCCCCCTCCCCCTTCCAGAAAAATAATGGTCCGTCCCTTATATTCATTTACATCTCTGCCTAGTCATTAAGGCTTCTTGAGGGGACCATGCGGCTGTTGTTTTGTGACTAATAAATTTATGTCTTCCTGTGTAATTTTTGTACTGGGTCTTGTTATTGCTACTCAATGTTTCTACCTCAGACGGATTGTTCGGTTATAACAAAAGTGCACGATTTTTCTATATTACTTTATATTTAACTTGATTTCAAAATGAATAAAGAAACGTTCAAGACGGAGGGTACTTCATAGAAATTGGATATTTCCAGATACAGACCAATTCGTGGACTTTTTCCAGCTGAATGTCAAATAATAGAGTCTGAGTCGTTAAAAAGTCTGATCAAAAGTTTGCCGCCGTAACTTTGCGGCTAGTCAATAAGAAAGCGTTTTTCTTGGCTATATATGTGGTGCACTTGGGAAGTCTGGAGAGCACGCAAGAAGCTAGGGTAACGCTCGAGGCGCAACACTAGAAAAAAAAAAGGTTTCCTGGATTTCGCCTAGCAAAACATAAACATCTTTCTAACGAATCAAAACCATACTCCACGTCTTCTTTCAAACATCTGAGTTAACTTTAGGGGGACTTTAAGACTCTTATACCTTTGTTTCTGCCTAGATTCCATTGATCATTAACAACTAAATAAGTAATTTTTCACTGTCAGTTTTAGAAAAAAATATTCTTTCAAACTAGACTGTTGTAGAGTGTTTTTAACCAGCCAAAAGAAGCTGTTTCTATGCCGCGCGTTAGGAGAATTTCGCAGTTAATGAATAAGAAAGCGTTTTTCTAGGATATGTGGTGCACTTGGGAAGTTTGGAGAGCATTTAAGAAGCTAGAGTTGCTCGAGGCGTAACTCTCACGCTTCTCTCGTGATCAAAGTACTTTTTGAATTTGATCGCTTTTTTACTGCGGCTTTAAAACATCGTAAAAAGTCGAATTCGTTTAAAAGAAGCTCGAGGGGGTTATATTCGGAGGGGCTTATAAGCGGGGGGTTATACTAGGAAGTTTACGGTATCTAAACTTGAGTTTAAAAAAATGTCGCCCACTTTCTCAGCAAAATGTGCAAAAGAGAGCGACAGAGAAAATGCTATAGACTACCTCAGATCAACCACTTACTGGGTGACAACCAAGACTTCGAGGTGAATCCACCAAAGATATATTCTCCACTTTCTATCACCACGAGAGTTGGGCCTTTGTTATCACAGCAGCGATGAAAGTCCTTAGCAGTTTTACCATCAGCAGAAGCTAGGTATAACAGCGAACAAGCTGCACCTTCAGGTAGCCATGACACAAGGGAGAAAAAGTGATCTTTGTTCTTTATCACGGTTGATGTAAAGGTGAACATCTCTTTTTGTAGCCGATCGATCATTCCTTGCACCTGATAAAACTCCGCCTCTGAAAGTAGGTCTGCTCGAATTGTTCTGTCTTTTGGGCAACGAAATTGGCCGTTTCGAAGATAGTTCAAGATGTAGCTAAATTGGGAGTAAAAACGTTCTTTCTTAAAAGAGGAAGGCAAGTTTTAATTAACTGAACGAAGTATGCAAATGAATGTTTAAGCTGCAATATTTATGAATATTATTCAGCCACTTTTTTTGTCAACATAAAGCAGTGGGACACTCAGTTTTCCAAATCTCCCTTACACCGTTCCCAAAATGCGTTCTCCCGCCGATGATTTTAATAAATTTCCCTTTTTTATATCGTTGTGGGAAAGAAGGGCCACACTATCGGATCGTTACTTTTTCGAGAGTGTTGCGTGACGAGACTAGTTTTAAGGTCATAAATATACACGACTTCCACTCATTTCTCATTTTGTCACTGATGCCACTTACCCTACTTACCGGAATAGTTTACCATCGCGGTCGATAAAATAAGCTCCGTCTTCCTCGTCAGCTTTGACTTCATACCTCCCAGAAAACATCGCACACAGCATGGAATTCGGGTCCTTTCGCAGTGTATTCAGGGTTGTCTTGTATATCTTTCCGCCGACGTTTAACTTGACGGTGCTGGCAAAGTGGACCTGATTTAGTGTTTTGATCATCTTTTCAAAATTCGATTTTTCTTCCCTGACCTTTTCAAGGTCCTGCTTCAACAAGTCATGAGCTTCATCAGTAAGCTTTTGGGCATCAGATAGTTTTGCAGTGGCCAGGTGAAATAATCTCAAATCATCGTGATCTTCTTCTGTGGCCATTTCCGCACTTCCGCACTGGAGTGAAACTATTGAGCCCTCGTTCCTCTTCTCCGCCGGAAAGCATTTCCAGAACTACTACACGTAAGCTAAATAATGTGCCCGATTTGTTTATTACAGTGGAACCACGGTAATTCAAGCTCTGAAGGGAAACGGAAAGCAGTTCGAGTTACCGGGGTAAATTTCAGTGAAATTTTGATCAAAGGAAATGAAATTTAGTTGGAGTTAGCGGAGAATTCGAGTTATCCGAGTTCGAGTTATCGAGGTTCCCCTCGGCTCCGCAGCTCTGCCTTTCGTGCCGGTTAGCATCAGGTAACATCGGCTGAAGTCAGATCGTTTCTTTCAGTAAAATTACAGGAAGAACAACTTAAGTCCAACTTTACTGTGTAATATAAAATGAAATAGAAAAAATCCACTGTAATGCTTTGAACCCGGGTCACTTGCTTTATATCCACTACACCATCGAGGACTAGCTGCCAAATCCAATAATTTTTAAAATATACATGTTCTTATGCCGTACCCCATTACAATATATGAAACCTAACCGTTTTCAGTTCAGTGCTTAACCCTAATCACCGCAGATCAGTTAGCCTGCGTAGCAAGCGTTTCCATTTGGTTTCGGAGCAGAGAAAGACCGGTTTTGGCTGCGCGAGAAATAAAACGAGAGCCAAAAAATGAAAGAGGGGGGAGGCGGGGGGGAGGAAAGAAACGCTTGCAGACAAACCCCTCGGTTTCCTTCCTTTCTTCCCCACCCCCTCTCCGCTCTTTTACTTGTTCCATTTTTCCCCGGGGGGGGAACTCGGGTATTTTTTGGCTGGGTATGTGCCGCCCGGGACTCCAAATTCGCACCTCGTTCTAGAAAAAATTCCCCTAAAATTGATACCCCGTTCTAGAAATGGGCCAATTTTTTATACCCCGTTCTACAGGGCGCAACAAGAGTACAACAGTTTGCTTGTTAACGCATTGAACCGTTTTTGTAAAAGCAATCTGTTCTTGAATACTTCAAATGGCTGCTTACAAAACTGGAGCTTTAGTGCGTTCGAAATATTATACCCCATTCTAGAAAACGCCTCTGAAATGGATACCCCGTTCTAAATCAGGAGCTTCAAAATCACGACCCCTTTGGGCGGCACATACCCGCATAGGTAATGTATGGGAGTACCCCCCCCCCCAGGCATTTTTCGCGCGGTCTTTGACTCTCATTCCTAGTTCTTTGCTACTAAACCGCATGGAAACGCTTGCTACGCAGGCTACAGATCAGTGCTTAAGTCTCTACTGTGTTCTCTCCATAACTGGCGCTCTGTAGTTTTGGTTTCTTCAGCTATTCTAGCCTCATTCTACATTCCAGTCTCGTTCAATTATGGAAATAATGCGTTGTGTAAAATTCATAAGGTATCCCATCTGGCTTCACTTGATGTTATCTAACGCTAAACTTTCGTGCCCCGCGGGCTATCTATTTTTTTTTTTCGCCCCAGCCTCCCTACGACACAGCGGCCTCCGCGGAGGAGAGAGAGGTTCAACTGTAATTCACGATTACGTTTTCAACCCAAAAGGGGTATCTTCTCTCAGACTCTCACAGGTCACGGGCACATGTCACTCTTCCATCTGTAGTTAGTTAAATATAAGCAAGAGAGAAGTGAAACATCCCCCCACCCCCCACCCCGCACTTTATATCCCACGTAATCTGTGGCATTAAATCAGGTCAAATCTATGCGTCGGTTCCTGTGCTCTTGAGCGAGAACAGTAATGGCTCAGTTAATTCCATTCGGTATCTTGTCGGTCTCGGCGGTGGGGATTTGTCAGTTCTTTTAGAAGCGGTTAACGTCGCTCAATATTTCATTAAAAATATGCCTGTTTAGATAGCTTTACATATTTATATAAAGAACATTTTTTTATACCTATGCTTTAAAAAGATATGTGTGGTTTTCGCTCCATCACTTCCCTACCCCAATGTATTTTTTTCATAAGAAATTGCTTCCAGCAATCGTGATCAGCTCGCAGATGGAAGAAAAATAACCAATGTGTCGTTTGAAGGGTTTAAAGGAAAAAAAAAGACACTTTCTTTTTGCGTGAATGGTTGAGTCAGAAAGGCCTAGAAAAACTCTGCGAGATATACGTGAAAGCCAATATATAAATTTCGTGTATTGTACGATCAATGCGACAATTAATATGCTGACGAAGCAGCCGTGATGGAAAGTACTCATGTAAACCCGGAGTAGTCAATCGATAAAAATCGGTACCGATCTATCCCTCAATAAATCCATAAAAATCGGTAAATCTGATTTGATTGATGTCGAGTGTATCGATCAATCGGTTGAAATCGATGACACGCTCGTTTCGTTTACCGATTTATCTAGATTTTACCGATTCCATTGATTTATATCGGACGATCCGTTCTTCTGTTCATCCAAAAATGAAAACTGATTTCATGCAAACAGTGAATTTGTTGACAATTGAGAGTCAAAGGATCAAACAATATTGTTACTTCAAAAATAATAATAATAATAAATAAATATTATCTTTTCTTTAAAACCCGCTTCAAAGTCTTGATCTTCTGATGGCCGATATTTGCCAGGTTTTTGGGCGCACAATTTTTTTCACGATTTAGATGTGCCATCCTTTCAAAATAACATCAGTTCCACACGTAGTTACTTCCCGGAGTATAGCCAATAGATAAAAATCGAAATCGATAAAAATCGTTAGCGATCAAGTGATGTGGCTGTGAATGGCGGCACATGATAGCCGTGGCGATGAACATAACAACAAAACGTTTAATCATACACGAGGCTGAATCAACTTACAAGTATCATCACAAACATCCGTTATAAAGCTTTAGAAATCCGTAACACGACAAAGAAAAAACTGAAACAAACGACTTACAAAACACTTGGGAAACTTGAAGAAAACCTTAGTGAAACTTCAGGGTATTTCACGGTGGCCTCGTGCCCGCCAATGCCGAGGCCCCGTGCGCATGCTCCTAATAAACAAGGGGGTAAGCCCGCTGGTCAGGATACCAGCGGTTACATGGCTCCCCAAAATATAAGCCTTGCCTTACATTTTAACAACAACTATAACTATCTCGATAACAGTCCTAAAACTTATTTCCTAGAAAAAGCATTCATAAAAGCTCGGGCTCCTCGTCGGGGAATCCCGGTCTCTAAACATTACGCCTCCAAAAGTAAGACGAGCTTGTTAACAGGCCTTTCCAACTTGGAGCCATTGCCTGTCAGCACTGTCACCGATCGGACTCGATCTTGATCATCAGGATGCGTGGATACGACCTTACCCAAAGGCAATCTATTTCTCGGAGACTGGTTTTCCTTCAGTAATACCACATCTCCAACCTTGAAATTTCTTTTTGGCCGAGTCCAGTTGATTCTTGCTTGTAACTGTTCTAAGTACTCTTTGCTCCACCTTGACCAAAACTCTTGTGCTAGGTGCTGCGTGCGTCTCCATTTCCTTCCACAGTATAAGTCTTCTCTCTTAAATTCTCCTGGTGGAGGTAGCACGAGTCTTGTCTTTCCTGTCAGCAGCATACTTGGCGACAATGGTGGCTCTAAAAGAGGATCGCTGAGTGTCTCTACCGTCAGAGGCCTGTTATTGATTGTAGATTCTGCTTCGCAAAGGAATGTTCTCAGCGATTCTTCGTCAAGACGATTACCATGCTCTCTAATAAGACCACTCATGACGTTTCTAATTGACCTGATTTGCCTTTTCCACACGCCTCCAAAGTTACTCGCGGATGCAGGATTCTTAATCCAATCGATCTTGGCTTTAAGGAGTTCTGCTTTGACCTTTTGGTCGTCTATCTCGTCAATAGCTTTCTTGAGTTCGGCTTCCGCACCAATAAAATTCGTTCCTCTGTCACAACGAATTTCTCTGACTGGTCCTCTTCTACAGATAAACCGTCTCAATGCTTGAATAAAGGGATCAGTTTCTAAGGAGTCTGCAACTTCTATGTGTACAGCCCTACTTGCAAAACAAGTAAACAATGCTCCGTATCTCTTGACAACAGACCTTCCTCGTTGTACGTGCCAAGGGCCAAAGAAATCGACTCCGCAGTAGGTGAAAGGCGGTGCTGGCTCCACGCGCGACTTCGGCAAGTCAGCCATCTTCTGCTCTCCCACGTTACCTCGAAGGTAACGACATGTTACGCATTTGGAAATAAACCGCCTGACCATCGAATTTCCACCGACGATCCAATAGCCACTAGCACGAAGTTCATTCAACGTAATTTCTCTTCCGCTATATATGGTGTGATCTTTCGTGCGCGTAGCTGATAACCAGTGCGGTAATGTGGCTTGACTTTGGTAAGATGACAGGGGTTTTGAGAGACTCCGATAGCGTCGCCTTCCGTATTCGCCCGCCAACTCTCATGACACCATCACTGTCTAGGAAGGGGTTTAACGTGCGAAGCGTACTGGTTTTCTTCAGCACAGCCTTCTTCTCCTTTTCCACTTTCCGGCTACCGTGCTTAGCGTTCACTTGAACGATTTGGAGACTTCTTATTTACGACGGAAATGCTTGTCTTTGTACTTGTTTTATGATCTCCACTTCTGCTTCCTGTAAGTTGGCGACGTTAAGTTCTGCACCTGCAGGGGTGTTACTGACACACCTTTGTTCTGGTGATCCAGCACTGGACTCCTTCCCTTTAGACATGACCTTTTCTCTGAGCTTCCTCTTGTACTTTAGGCATAGTGCGACAGCTACCTTCGCTTTGTGCCAGCTTGAGAACCTGAGAAGTCTCTCAACTAGGACGTCACTCTCTTTCACTACACATGTGTTAACCTTAGTGCTCTTCACTTCGGGGGAATCTGGGTCCACAGTGTCTTCGTATGACTTTTCGTTCAGCCAACTGCTTGTAGGTTTTCTAAGGAAGTCAGGGCCTTGAATCCATTGTGATTTCTCAACAAAGTCTTTAGGTGACATACCCCTTGAACCTTCGTCTGCAGTATTTGACGTGGTTTCGACGTAATGCCACTGTGAGGGGGTGGTGTGATCATGAATGAGTTGAACCCGGTTGGCAACAT